GATTGTTCTTAATCTTGCTACGTGAAAAATGCATTCCGACGGCCGACGCGGTTGTCGATACCAGTCGTCTATCCTCGAGCGAAACAACGATACCCGATGGAAAAATTCTGTTCTCCGAGCCGTATATCGATCTCCGATCTCGCGCGGCGAAAAAAATTAAATTAGCGCCATTAGTCGGGCAAAAAGAAATGGACCCGGTGAACTCGGCTGATCGATGCGGATGTTAATAAACGGCTCGCGTTACCCGTGTCGGGTACTCATTATCGATATCCATCAGCGAAACGGCTCGTGTAACCGGTGACAAACGATCCGCGATTTATTTGCCGTCGCGCGAATTTATTTCAGCCGGGCTTTAAAGCTGCCAAGGAAACAACACTGCATCGTCGATGCGCCCGGCGCAGCGAGCTGCGAGCCGTCTCGCAACGGCACCATTTTTCACGGGCAACCGTGATCAAGCCGGAAGAACGGATTCTTCTGCCAATTGGAGTGAGGCTTTAATGAGAGCGCCGTTGGAAAAGCGTGCTGAAAAATTGGAGGTTACTTTCGCACTGATTTCGAACAACGGTAGACAAAAGAATGTGCGGAAGAATGGAGCGCCTTTCGCAGACCCGCAGTTTCTCGATCCTTATTTTAGAGTCGGTTCTGAAGCAAGATTTGAATTTGTTTATCTTTTGATCGGGTAAACTAAAGTAAAAGTTGTTGATAAGATATTCAAAATATTATTTTCCTTGCTTAATATGTCTAAAATGTATCCCCTGACTTATTTATAGTATTTTAACTTCGGAAAAGTAATTATCGATGAGTAAAAATTATTAACAAAATATTCAAAATATGTTAAATATCGGTTTTATTATTTAATGAATTCGAAACGTGCCTATTTGTTTTTTTATGGTATGTTAACGTAGTGGGAATAATTTTAAACGTTAAAGAACATATATTATTATTATATTATATTATTATTGTGTGATGGCTATATAATTATTAAAAAGTGCGATGAGAAGAAATAGAGTACTGCAAATGTCGACTTCCAATGCAGAAAATTTGTCAACGCAACACGAGCATTAATAAAAAAGATAATACTGGTACAATATTGTTCAATATAGTAGACAATATTATAAACAGTATAATAACTGTCTCTTATACACATCTAGATGTGTATAAGAGACAGATATTGTACAGTTTATAATATTATTTATTATAATATACAGTTTATCGTACAGTTTATAATATTGTTTATTATATTGTACCTGTCTCTTATACACATCTAGATGTGTATAAGAGACAGATATTGTACAGTTTATAATATTATTTATTATAATATACAGTTTATCGTACAGTTTATAATATTGTTTATTATATTGTACCTGTCTCTTATACACATCTAGATGTGTATAAGAGACAGATATTGTACAGTTTATAATATTATTTATTATAATATACAGTTTATCGTACAGTTTATAATATTGTTTATTATATTGTACCTGTCTCTTATACACATCTAGATGTGTATAAGAGACAGATATATTATAATAAACAATATTATAAACTGTACGATAAACTGTATATTATAATAAATAATATTATAAACTGTACAATAAACTGTATAATATAATAAATAATGTTATAAATTGTACAATAAACTGTATAATATAATAAACAATATTATAAACTGTACGATAAACCGTACAATATAATAAACAATATTATAAACTGTACAATAAACTGTATAATATAATAAATAATGTTATAAATTGTACAATAAACTGTATAATATAATAAACAATATTATAAACTGTACGATAAACCGTACAATATAATAAACAATATTATAAACTGTACAATAAACTGTATAATATAATAAAGAATATTATAAACTGTACAATAAATTGTATAATATAATAAATAATATTATAAACTGTACAATATAATAAGCAATATTATGAACTATACAATAAACTGCAATATATATAATATTCCAATAGCTCGGACAACCAAAATTGTTCATTTTTCTCCTCGCAATATTTGAAAGCTCGCACTTTGACCCGAATTTTCGACCCGGTACTCCACAGTGCGGCGGAACGAAAAGCTCGCGAATGGCACGATTCTTTTGAAATAAAAATATCGAAACGAGACGGCTGGGAGGCGCAGCGTTCGAACAGAAAAGCTTGCAAAAAATAAAGACCTGTTGGTCGCGAAACAATCGGTTCGTTAACCAGCAAACGGAATCGAGAGAATCGCGTGCAGCTTTTTACAAGTTAGGCAATTTCTAATAGTCAACGAACGGCTCGGCTCGTCAATACACCGTGGCTTCGACGAGTCTGATTTTTAATCTCTTAGCGGATCCTAGCTTCCGTAGCCGGCTAATGGAGAATTCAGGCTCGACGTCGCGTAATCAACGAATAATATTAGGTTGTTCTAATAGTTCCGTTCGTAATAAGCGTGCTCGCCGCTCTCACGCAATATTAGCACGCGCAAACAGCGCGATCATCTGCTCATTGTTTTACCACGTTCTAGGCTTTCACTTTCCTAATCACGCGATTTGCTTGCTCGAAGTACACTGCTAAATTAGGGGAACTTTTCGGAGCTACCTAATTCTCTCGTGTGTGCGATATTTTACTTGTTTAGCTGACTTATTTGTTTGTTCATAGAATTATAGTAAATTCGAATATTTTTTGGAGCAAGGCGATATTTTGAACTTGCAAATTTTTTATTAAATTAATCGAACAATTTGCTTGCTAAAAATGCTCTGCTAAAATAGAGGAACTTTAGTAGCTATTAAATATTTTACTAATTAAATTGTATCGATTTGCTCGTTCAAATAATCACAGTAAAATCGAAGATCCTTTGCAGCAACATAAACTTGCAACTTTTCATTAAATTAACAGCATAATTTGCTTGCTTAAAATTCCCAGCTAAAATAAAGGAATTTTCGTAGCTATTAAATATTTTACTAATTAAATTGCATCGATTTGCTCGTTCAAAAAATTACAGTAAAATCGAAGATCCTTTGCAGCAACATAAACCTGCAACTTTTCATTAAATTAACAATATAATTTACTTGCTCAAAATTCCCAGGTAAAATAGAGGAATCTTCGTAGCTATTTAATATTTTATTAATTAAATTGCATCGATTTGCTCGTTCAAAAAATTACAGTAAAATCGAAGATCCTTTGCAGCAACATAAACCTGCAATTTTTCATTAAATTAACAATATAATTTACTTGCTCAAAATTCCCAGCTAAAACAGAGGAATCTTCGCAGCTATTAAATATTTTACTAATTAAATCGCACTATTTGCTCGTTCAAAAAATCACAGTAAAATCAAAGATCCTTCGGAGCAACGCAACGCATCAAACCCACAATTTTCCAATAGATTAACCGCATAATTTGCCTGCTCAAAATTCCCAGCTGAATTATTCTGTTCGTGCAAACCTAATACATCATCCTGTGCAGCGAGCGAGCGCTCCGATATTTCCGATTCCAATTTCTACTTTCATCCGGAATTTGCTTTAGCATTGTCCGACAGCAAAATCCTGTTCGCCGGATCCGGGAAAATTACAAAAGGATCATCGGAATCCACGGATCGGGCGGAACCGAATTTAAGAGATCCGGCGAGGCCGCGCGTGCTGGTTTCAATTTGCTGCAACAGATCCGCAACGGCGACCTCGCGCATTCCCCGCGTGCACCGCGCGATTTCCGCGACAGAATTATGAAATCCACCGTGGCCGAACAATATTCGAACGTTCGTGTCGCAGAGGATCCCGCGACGTGGCCGCCGTTCATTATCGGAACGCGATACGGAGCCGTCCGCCGTCGCGACGACGACAAGGTCCCGGAACGTTAATGGGGCCCCGCTGCCATAATTCCGGCGAGCGGATCCGTCGAGCATTACACGTGGTCCGATTTGTTCGCGGCTTCGCGTGTAATCGCACGGAAATCCTCCGCTGTCGGAAATTCGCGGCGAACCAAGGCGGCGTCGCTTGAAAGCCGGCGAGCGAACTGCGGCGAACAGCCGAGCTTTGTGGCGCCGACTGGATATTGGATCGCGGGGCAACACTTCTGGCATCGAGACGTTCGATTACGCGAGTCTATTTCGCGTTCTTCGGGGCCCCTCGCGGTGCCGGGGGGCCCTCGGCGGGCCCATATTCGTTAAGAAATTCCGCGACGAGGTCCGCGGATCGCGTTTCAACGAACTTTTCTCCGTTTTATTTACGCCGTCGGACCTCGCGGTTATTAGCAATATGCAGATTGCTGTGCACATTAACTATATAAACACGACGATTACGTGCTAATTACAGAGATTGCAGCAGTTGCCTGTATGTTAAATAATTGTAAATAAAGGCCGCCGATTTTTCAGCGTTGCTTTTCAATTTTTGCGGCGTTTCTGTTTTTTTCGTACCAGATTGCGGTGTATTATTGGTTAAAAATTATGGAAAATATGGCGAAAGTTGTGCCGAAGTTCAAAGGAAAATTCGTGCATATGAAAGAGAGAACTGTCCGTCGTGCATGCAAATCAAAATAATTAAGAAGTTTGAAGAAAATGGTATTATAGTATAAATAACTCGCGTGCAATTAACATTATTTGCAATAATATTAGATTTACAGTAAACTCAGATTGTGCAAAAAAAATGGACAATTTGGGAAGAGGAGATACGATTTTTATAGGCATCGATTGTCAACAACTATGAAAACGAGCCGCGAGGTTCGAACAATCGTGTCTCCTCTTCCCAAATTGTTCATTTTCGTGTCCAATCTGGGGCACCAATTAGAGAGAATTTACTTGGTGAATCCGTTTATCAGGTTCAAGTGATTATGTCAATTAAAAATTGCTGGTATCGATGCGGATTGATTCGAAAGGCCGACGGCTGTTTACGTTAGACGATTGAATGGGGCGCAGGAATATTCCGCGTCGACGCCGCGGCGTCCACGATAATTGCGATCCGATGAGAGGTGGCGGCGCGAGGTTAACAGGTAGTAAACGTTAATTCCTGAAATTGCAGAGAAGGGGGACGACACGAGGCCCACTCCGCGCAGTCGACGCAGGACCGCAGGAAGCTGTTGAAGCGGACCAGAAGCCTCGCGGTGATATCCGAGGACGAATCTCGACAAGATCGAGAGGCGCACCACTTCCGGCTCGGGCAATCGACCTTCGATTTGCCCAGGAGGCATCAGTTGATACCGAGGGCCAAGCTGATCGATCGAAACTCTCTGAAGGACAGGTGAGTGCCGACGGAACTCGAAGGAGCTGCGACGGTCCGGCTCGGACGGATCGCGTTCGCTGCCACACACGATTAAATTGACCCCGGACACTGGCTCAGAAACTCGCTGGTATTTTTATGCAGAGAAACCGGAAAAGAAAACGGGAGAGACAAATGGCAGAGTTTTGTGGGTCAGGCTCGCGGACCGTTTCTTTTAGAGAGGGGCAGAATAATAATAATAATAATAATAATTTTTTTGGGTCTTTATTGGGGGGAGGACATTTTTAACGAGATCACCGGAAGCGTCCAGAGTAATTATTATTATTATTATTATTATTATTATCATTATTATTATTATTATTACGTTATATCATATTATATTACAACATTATGTTGTATCATATTATATTATAATATTATTATATTATATCATATTGTATTATAATATTATGTTATACTATATTATATTATAATATTATTATGTTGTATCATATTATATTGTAATATTATTATGTTATATCATATTATATTATAATATTATTATGTTATATCATATTGTATTATAATATTATGTTGTAACATATTATATTATAATATTATGTTATACTATATTATATTATGATATTATTATGTTATATATTATATTATATTATAATATTATGTTATATCATATTATATTATAATATTATTATATTATATCATATAATAATTATTATTATCATTATCATTATTCTTCTTATTATTTGATAGGGAGCATGTCCATGTATTAGAACAGTATAGCATCATGTCGCACAAGTAGCAGATTAAAGGAAATAAAGGAAAACGAAAAGAGAGTGGTACAATAAAAGAAAAGATACAATGGAAGATACAAAAGAGCAGTTTTCAAGAAGCGGAAGATCCTATTACGATAATAATACAGAGATTTTAACCGCTCGAGACCCAAGCAGCGCGGATCGCGCTGTTTAGATTTTGTGTCGCACACAACGTTACTGGCACACGCACGTCGCATAGCTGCTTTTCTCTCGTTTTTGTTTTGTTTGTCAACTCTGACGAGCGCTATCGCGCCGCTTCGTTCTCTTCGCAATCGATTGAAATCGATCGTTATCCCGCTGTTCGATATTTTTCGACCGTGTTTTCTAAACGGGACTCGAACGGTTAAAAGAATATATGACAATACTGATTGGAAATTAACACGCTGTTTAATTTCTTTTAAAATTGCGAAAGCATTTAATATTTGCAGAATTGACAAAAATTAAATTTTTTTAAAAAGGTATTAATACCCCTCCCGCGCATAGCGTGATGAGAGAGATCGATCGAGGCAGTTTATGGTAACCGTAAAGCGTGCGATGAGTTTCAGGGGGGGAGGGAAAATAAATGTCTTGCGATATTACAAACGGTTAGCATAGAAAGAGAGCTTTTATTTAACCCTAGAAAGATAAGCATATGACAACGTACGTAAAAGATAACCATACGCTTCAGAGGCGCATGCTTTTCTAAGGCTGTCTCTTATACACATCTAGATGTGTATAAGAGACAGCCTTAGAAAAGCATGCGCCTCTGAAGCGTATGGTTATCTTTTACGTACGTTGTCATATGGTTATCTTTCTAGGGTTAAATAAAAGCTCTCTTTCTATGCCTGTCTCTTATACACATCTAGATGTGTATAAGAGACAGCCTTAGAAAAGCATGCGCCTCTGAAGCGTATGGTTATCTTTTACGTACGTTGTCATATGGTTATCTTTCTAGGGTTAAATAAAAGCTCTCTTTCTATGCCTGTCTCTTATACACATCTAGATGTGTATAAGAGACAGCCTTAGAAAAGCATGCGCCTCTGAAGCGTATGGTTATCTTTTACGTACGTTGTCATATGGTTATCTTTCTAGGGTTAAATAAAAGCTCTCTTTCTATGCCTGTCTCTTATACACATCTAGATGTGTATAAGAGACAGGCATAGAAAGAGAGCTTTTATTTAACCCTAGAAAGATAACCATATGACAACGTACGTAAAAGATAACCATACGCTTCAGAGGCGCATGCTTTTCTAAGGCGTCAATTTTATACTAACAATGGATATTTATTTAAGTTAATCTAGTCATTTTAAAGGTTTGGCATTATTGTAAAAATAAAATGCATTTATATTATATTTTTTTATATTTTAAGTAATTTTAAACTTAAATCACTAGACCTCTATGAAAAATTAACAAAAATCAACAGTCTTCGCAGGCGCCTCTGCGACGTAGGTTATCTTTCTCGGGTTAAAGGATAGTAGGGCAGGAAACGACGTGGTCAATTAGCTTATGAACAAAAAGTAGGTCGGTCATGGATCGACGCAGGAGCGAAGGGTTACGGAGCTGAATGATGAAGATGGAGGACGAAGGATACGGGGGATTGCTTCCGATGGTCGTTACAATAGGCAATTATCGGTTCCTGTAACTTCAGCTTGGCTCGGTGATCAGTGATCGGCGCTTATCCCGCAGTTGCAATTTCGATTCTATTCACCGTAGTTGAACATCCAGAGTATGATCGAAAGATAACCAAGCGAACTTGCGAAGTCCGACTTCGGCTTCTACGAAGTAGAGTAAGTTTACCAATTACTGTGCCACCCCGTGGTTACCGCGGCCTTACAATAATTTTACTTAAACCTGAAAGCAACATTATTGAATTAAAAATATGGAATTTTTTGAAATGAAATTTATCTGTTATTTTCGTAAACGAATCAGTTCGCGAAACGTGCGTATTCTTTCCTTATTTTTATAAATAATAACGTAATTATTGCAATAGTATAATAAATTATACTAGATAATAATCAGTACGGAATATTTCACGTTTTTGCGTTTTCGTTGTAGGATCGTTTACCTACATCCGATCGCGATAATTGGAGCACCGTAATTAGATCGGTGTACAGAAAATCAAGCACAATAATTAGATCGGCGCAGAGAAATTCAAGCACAATAATTAGATCAGTGCGGCGAAATTGAAGCACAATAATTGGATCAGTGTTACAGAAATTGACACACAGCAATTACATCAGTGTGTACCAATTAACGGTAATCAACTTCTCTTATGTTCAAAGGCACGGTGACTCGCGCAAAATCTGTTCCGTATATTTTATTAAATATTTCGCGTTGCTTATATTTTCATATATTTCCTTCACGAATAAACATTCGTAGTTGCATAAAAGACATCATACGTGCTTCAAGAAAAATTCGTCGAAAACTCCGGGCGTCGCTTTAAATGGGGGCACAGTAATTGATACACTTATCGCGGTAAGACGAGACAAGATTATAACGAAAGTCGCTGCATCGTCCTCAAATAATGAATCGAGACGCGGGACACTTGTTTTTAGAAATCCGTGGAAAGTGTGTCGGATTTACACAAGGGACAGAGGATCCGCAATTTTATGTTCTGCTAAATGAAAACACTTTCGTACGAGGTTTCTGCACTTCCATATAAAATTTGCAATTTAAATGAGCAACGCGGATCCAATGATACTTCTTCGCTCGCGGCTATTCCTCTGACAGTAACTAGACTCTGTGTCCAGACTCGTTCGTAATCCACGTTTCTACACGCGGATCCGTAGGAACAGGTGGAATAAAATACTGTGCGACTCCGGTAAAACGGAGACCGAAGTATGATCGAGATCATGCAATATCGCGGGATTTCTAAGAATTTATATGCACGTGTCTGTTCATTGTTCTCCGTTGCTGGTGACAAACGGCGCGGTGTAACGAATATATCGGTAAAAAAAATATCAATTTTTCATTGAAATAGTTATATTTTAATACTATTGTTCATATATACATAAAATTATATTATTACATTATTATATTATTATATATATTATATAATACTATTATATATTAACTTAATCATATTTTGCTAACTATTTTTAAATAACTAAAGTTATTTTGCTAACTATTTTGACTTGATCATATTTTGTTAACTATTTTTAAATAACTAAAGTTATTTTGCTAACTATTTTAACTTAATCATATTTTGTTAACTATTTTTAAATAACTAAAGTTATTTTGCCAACTATTTTATCTTAATCATATTTACGTTCAGTGAACATAATTTTTAATCAATTAATTTTCGACGTAAAACGACCGACGAAATACATCGACGAGTAACGTAACAATTAAGAAACATATACAGATTTTTTAATACATCCAACCATAAGTAAGTAACAGTAAAAACAACGGTTCGTCACGTTTCTTTCGGCGTGTTTTGTCACATTTCGATGGGGTCCTAATTACGTAGAGACTCGAAAAAAGAAAAAACATCTTATAAAAGAACACTCGAGAGCAGACGAAAGAAGCACCGAAAGAAAGGGAATAGAAGAAACCGGTTGCCGAAAAAACGCTGAAAAACTCGACACGTTTCGTTTCTTTCTCTGGCAAGAAAACTGTAACGCGGTGTAAGAAACGCGTAGAAAAATGTAACTGCAACACACTCGCGATCAGATACAATAACTTTCGACGCTGTGTATAACGATATCGGACGGGGAGCGAATATGAAATTTCAGAGACGAATTTTTCTCTTTTTGAGCGCGGCGCACTGTGCGGCGACTGCGTTATTTCTCGGCGGTGCCGAGACATTTTTAAGAAGTCGGATAGAAAACGGCGGCCACGCGAGCGGGGCCAACAGGCGGCTAAAGCTGTCCGGTTGAATTTTTAATTAAAACGGAGAAACCCCGGCGCGCTCGGGTTGTACTTTTTCCGGTGGAGCCAATTCCATTTCCGATACGTTCCGCAGATTTCCATTAGCTGTTGCCGGGGGATCGGGTAATTTGGTCGGGGAAACGCGGCTCCCGGTAATTTCTGCGCCTGTGACCGGGCTCGAAAGATTAAATGGAATTACATCGCGCGGCTGCGATACTACGGTGCATTAAATCGCGGAACGCGGCGTCGATCAAAATAGCGGAGAAGAATATGTTTCAGCGTGCAAACCGCGCGCGCACGCGTTGCAACGAGACCAGCCGACGACGGCGACGACGACTACGATGAGTCCCTCTCGTTGTTTCCGGGCAACGAGCCGATTCTTTCCGCGATTATATCCTGAGGAGTGCCCTTTCGATAATTGCGATCCCAATAAGGCACGTCCCGGCCGGACAGTTTAATTAGCGCGCGCGCGAGCAAACCAGCGACTCTTGAAACGGCAATTAGGCTGATCGCTCCGCTCGGAGCGCGGGAAAGTTGACTCGCTCGCTCGGTTATTTTTACGACGGTGCTTCGCTATCCGGATCGAAGAGTTTAGCGACATTTCATGGGAATTGTTCGCGGACCGTGTCCTCGGGAAATCTGCTGCTAGACGCAATGGGTGACCAACGCTGAACCTATCGAGCGTTAAGAGTGACGTATATGTGTCGCCCTGTAAGATAATACTGAATTTATTTAGGCTTCGCATGATTTTTATTACAGCGGACACTTGGATCGAGACATTTATTCGAACATTTGCTACGAAAAAATCTTTATAGTTTCAGAAATGTTTAAATACAATATACGAAATGTTCAATTTATTCGGTTATTATTTTGTTTAGAAAGGAAACTACTATTTCATAGTCGATGAAGTCGTAAGGCTGTTTCCATTAGATATCGTTGAAGTTATTTATTTATTCAGGCATTCTTGGATAAAAAGTTTGTGGAAATTTGAAAAACGTAATTTCTGTATTCATCTTCGTCTCTCCAAGCAATTGTAGTTTTTGCAATAATTTTTTGCCTCATTGTCTAGAGAACTAGTTTTTTCGACGTCCAAAAAGAAATTCAAGCAAAAGAGATTGTATGTTTTTTTTAGCATTCTTCAGTATGATCATCGTTATTAAAAAGCTGTGATAATCGCCAGTAAGATGAGTAATTGTACAATGTAAAATAAATATAATATAGTATAGTATAATATAATATAATATAATAATAATATAATAATCTAATAATATAATAACATATAATAATCGTATAATAATAATATAATATATACTAATCGTATAATAATAATATAATATATAATAATCGTATAATAATAATAATAATAATAATAATAATAATATAATAATAATATAATAATCATACAATAATAATATAATAATATAATATAAAATAATATTATATAATAATAAATTGTATAATAATAATAGGAAGAAATTCTCGTTTGCCAGAATGGCAAAACAAGCGTTAAATTAGCGCGACAATCAACGTGTTAATAGCGTCGCCGCGTTAGACGTTGCCTTATCGACGAACTGTCACTCTTATTCTTCAATTAGGCGAATCGACGGATTACCAGTCAGTGTAATGTAGCGTGTACGCGAGCCGAATCGGGCCGGCGTACCTCTGGAAAGCCTGGCGGAAAACTCGTTACGGGCTCCGTGAGAGATTTTCCAGTCGGCGCAGCGTGGAAATGGAACTTTCTTGCCTTCTCTATTGTCCTTGTACGGGCCGTTGCAGCCGGCTCCGATACGTTAAAGCCGCTTTAATAATGCAACGAACGTGCAACGTCCCGCGGCGCCGAATTCAAATTCCGCTCCGAGCCTCGGAGCTATTTAACGGATACAAATTTCAATAGCTACTGTGCCCGGTGATATACGGCAGCCTGAAAATATTCGCGGGAGAAAACCGGTGGAAAACGAGCATTCCAACCCCCTATGGGAACGGGACATTCGTGGCGTGGACTCGGCGCATTCGAATATAATCGGTGTTGCGACCTTTTAAACGGAGAAATCGTGGATTTTGAAACACTTACAGCGTTCAACGTTTTTTATAATTGCGAAATCGATGGGAGATATTGAGAAGAAAAACTAATTTTTATTTGGTTAATAGAATAGAATAATTTGGTAATAAAAGAGTAACTTATATTATAGTCATAGGTTATATTTTATATAGTTTATAGTTATAGTAGAAATTGATAACAAAAAATATTTGGTAATAGGAATGCTTTAGATGTGGCAATAGTGATCCATAAATATTTATTTTTGCTAATTTTCATTTAATATTCAATAATAAATACATATTTATAGTAGGCTCGTTTATATGTAGCTAATTTATATTATAGTTATAGGTTATATTTTATATAGTTTATAGTTATAGTAAAAATTGATGACAATAAATATTTGATAATAGGGAAGCTCTAGATGTGGGAATAGTGATAGATAAATATTTAATTTTGCTAATTTTTATTTAATATTCAATAATAATATACATATTCATAGTAGGTT